TTGTATTTCTCAGAAATTTTATTCAAAGCCATGGGACTTGCTCATGGAAACATATTTAGGTCTAGGGAACAAGAGACATAATTTATTATTATTAGATTACATGACTGGCTACTGTTATTAACAGCACATGTGCATAGCAATGTTACAAGCAGAGCAGAAGTCATTCATGGCAAAGCTATCTAACAAAGACAACAAGAATGACCTGTTTAAAACACAGACAACAACAACAACAAACTTCCATCATTTTCCAAAATTGCCAAATTCAGCAAGTTTTGCTTTAAATGGGAATGGGAATCAGGATATTAACAATGACCAGAGCCAGCCACCAAAATTATGAGAACACCCAGCCCTTGACATCACAGTAAGGTAACTCAACAAATCAGATATCTGAAGCATTCAAGCTTTCTGGGAAAAGAGCCCCATTTCAGCCTTAGTGGCTTTGAGATGAAACAGACAGAGTTAAACCTTTGCACCTTGGATCCTGGCTTCTGGGCCCAAGAAAAGGCAATGGAGTCAAAAGCCATTTGCCAACATCCTGTAAATGCCAATGAATGCTTGTTGAGTTTGGTACCACTGTGACAGAATAAAACTGAGAACGGGGTCAGGAGGCCAAATCTGAAGGATAAATCAACAGACATGGAAAATGAGTGGGACAGAGAGAAGTGGGTTCAGCTAAACCAGATCGCTGGTTAAGGGAAACAGAGATTCACCAGGAAAAAGACAATGTGAAAGAGTATCTTCCAAATTCAAAGTAGGATTTTAATCACAAAGAAGGGGATGGGATATTATGGGGTGGGGGGGCAGATTCAAATACCTACAGTAGATAGTTTTTACTAAAGACTAAATATTAAAGGAACAGGGAGAAAATCAGTTGGGTAAGCTGTGAAATTTAATTAGTTAACAATACAGTTTAGGTTAAATTAAAACTAAGATTTAAGATATAAGTAATTCAGCATAATTTCTAGTACAAAGCACTGATCCTCCACTTGTCCCAAGAGGAGTAAATATTTTTTCAGACAATTAAAACCTTGTGCATCCCACCGCCGAATGAATTTAGCTTCAGCAGTCCCAACAAGGATTTTTTTAAAAATCAGCAAATCGTTGTAATCCGCATAGTCTTCGCAACTGAACATTCTGCTTTCACTTATAACAATTTAACGAGAACTTTTCAATTCTTAGAGGCAATGGCAAAAGGTAGTAGGATGATTACTGGCCCATGATAAAGCAGGTGAAAATGCTCCCAAACTTCACAACAGTTTATCAGCTTCACTCCCCCTTCTTAGGTCTCCTTATTGTAGCATTTTGTTCTGTTCTTCTTGGGCCACTAGGGAAAAACATGTGCATTTTCAGCCTGTCATGTGCAGTGCTAAAACCTCGGGTTTTCTTACCTGTGCTTCACCCACTTCAACTTGACAACCTCCATCCATCAGAGGGGGAGGGTCATGTCACTTTGAAGCCACCTACATCTCTGCCATGGGACCACCCTCCAAAGCCCAAATGAGAAGTAAAACCGGAGGGTCAGATTCCAAGAAGGGAAACCAAGGCTGAACCCCCCACCCAGTCGGGAAATGGAATGATGTTGGGAAAATGATTTCACCGTCTCTGGTTTTATCTGATGCTTACTGCTCTCGGGAGTGTAAAACGTGATCAGAATTCTAAAGCGCTTTGGGAAGGATCCGATAAGACATTCCTGTGAAACGTGGAGCAAGCGATCCTCCAGGCTGATGAACACACAGAAGTGATCGCCAAAAAGATAGGAGGTTGCCGCGCACGGACTCAAAACGTCTAGCCCTGTATTGCTAGCTCTGAGCTCCTCCAGCGCCTAAGCAGTCACTTGATACCTGAAATCTTTTAGCCACAGATGTTGGAGAGAGAACTTGGGACTTTCAGCATGAACTGAACTGACCAAGCAGAAAAAACAGAACGAGAGAGAGAGAGAGAGAGAGAGAGAGAGAGACTTGGGTGGCCTATGAACAAAATCCCAACAACCTTTATCAGACCCCCTAAAATATCATTAAAAATGTGAACTTTTAGATCCTGGAAGAGTTTTTGCATTTCTACGCTCTTTGGGTGGTCCCATTAAAGTATTAACCAATCCTGATTTAAAACTGCTCCCTGTTTACTTGGAGGGCCCCCCCCCGAGAGGTGTCACAAATGGCACAGGCAAGACCGTGGCAAGGACAGGTATCTGGGTCGGGCCCCCTTGACAAGCAACCCCATGTTTGGGCAACAGTGTTTCCAGGTGAGCTCACGAATTGTAGGTAACGCTCTCAGGCCCCTGATCGGATACAGCCCTCCGATCACAGAGCACAGCAGAAGGATTCCTGTCAGCTCAGCTCAGCCACCCGCTAGCAGGTTTAAATATTACAAGAGAGAGGGTTGGGGAGAGGAGGGGAGGGGGCCAGGGTCTGGTCCATGGTGCTCACATAAAATGCAGTTGGCATTTCATTTGTAAATGAAGTCCTGGAAAAATATAGCAGGCTGCTGGGGGTGGCCGGAGGGAAGTTCGGAAGGAAGAGGTATAAGATCCATCTAACTCAACCGCCTACCTGGTTAGCGATGGCACCTAATTCTTATTTCCTTTGTTTAACCTGCTTCAAATAAATGCCAAGCAAGATCAGATGTCAAAGGTCAGGGAACATGTGAGATCGATAGAAAATCCATTTAAATCCAAAGGAGCAAACGCCCAAACCCTTCGAGCCTTGGAAAGAATGATTCATATATTCCAGGTTATCGACTGAAGGAAATAATTGTAAAAGACAGACAGAGGAAAAAAGTGGGGCGGGGGGGCGTTGTGATGGAGGAAGGGAGTGAGAGAGAGAGAGAGAGAGAGAGAGAGAGAGAGAAAGAGACAGAGAGAAAGGAGGGGTTGTATTGTGGAGAAATCCAGCAACAAAGAGAACCAGCTCAGAAAAAAAAATGAAGAGGAATGCTGGAATCTGATTGACAGTTCCAAAACAAAAACAACAAAATGCTTTTTCAAAATAACTTTACAAGAGAACCTGAAAGTTGAAAAACTGCAGGAGTTGGTGTTCATAAATGAGAGGAGGGGATCTCTCGTCTCGGGAACCAAGAAGAAGCAGGAGTCTAACTCCTTCTAGCATCTCCTTCTGTTTTTCCTTCCAGAAAAGTTAATTTAAAAAACAAAAACAAACCAGCAACAACACACACTTTACAACAGCTCGAGAACAAGAAATGCAACACCAGCTTCTGGGTATGTATGCACACAAATGTTGTCCGATACCGTCAGTTCCAACCTAAACGGCTTTTCGCTATGTTGAAAGATGCATCTGAAAACAGTTACCGTCATGAGCGGTTCTAATGGATTGTAGACAACTTTATAAGCGGAAACACAATGTGCGTGAGACTTCTGTCCTATTTAATAATGGGTCTGTTATCTTACCACTCAACTGCATAGACTAAAAGATGGCAGTTTTACATTGCCCCGAAGCAAGAAATAATAAATAATATAACCATTGCAAAATCCTTTAAAAAAAAATCTGGGGTCGAGGTCCTCATCAGCTGCTAATGACTTCACCCTTTTAGTGGAATAATAAATCTGCAATCTTTGCATGCTATCCGAGTCAATGTTAAAAACATAGGGAAGTCAAGGCAATTCATATATATTTTCCCCTCCAAGATAGGGTGGTGGTGTTGCAATGCAGTTTTGAAAGAAACAGAAATCGGGAAGAGAAAGGCGGAATAAAAAAGAAAATTAATTTCAGATTTGCAAACAGGAGCCGGGTCAATTCTGGGAAGTTTGAAAGCCCGCCGGCGTCCTGCCTACCTTTGCGCTGCAGTGTTGGCATCCAGAATACCCGTGCTTTGCATCCAAGACCTCACGGCCGAGAGCCCTCCGGACAAGGGCTCCTCTTTCATGGTCAGCCCACCTCGGGGGAGACCCTCCTGGATGGAGAACATCAAAAAAGCCTTTTAAGGAGCAGGACGGCAGCGGAAGGAGGAGGGGGTGAGAGGGTGAAGGTGGATGGGGGGGCGAGGACCTCCTCCCTGAAGCCAGCTCAAAGCCCCCAATCTGGGGCTCCCCTGTGCAAAAAGTTTGGGGACCCTCGGTTGTTTTCTTAAAAGATAAACCACAAAAAGGGGGGGCGGGAAAGAAAGCAGGATCCCCCTTGATCTGGTCCAGGCCCCCTCCCCTGCTCTGGCCCAGCTTGCCCGGAGGGGCTTCCAGGGCCACCTGCCCGGGGTCTCCCCTCGCCGCCCCACGGCGCCGGGAGGTGACAGGAGCCGGAGGAGGAGAAGGAGAGGCGAAGGTGCGGAAGAGGCGGCTTCGGGCTGGTTTGTTTGTTTCCAAGTGACTGGGAGGGGTGGCTCGCATTGGACGGGGAACTGGGAAGGGAAGGAGGGAGGGAAGGAGGGAGGGAGGAGAGGAAATCAGAGCAGGCGGGGAGGGGGGGGGAGAGGAGGCCAAGCCCCCCCCCAAAGAAGGGCAGGAGGAGGAAGAGGAGGAGGGAGAGCGGAGGGAGGGGAAGGCAGGCAGGCAGGCAGGCAGAGAGGGAGGGAGGGATGGAGGAGTGGCTGGACCAGGGAGGTCAGAGGAGGGATGCTCGGGGTGATGCGGCGCCCAGG